AAGAGTGTGTGGAAATCCAAAAAATAACATATGGAAAATGACTTCTAGAAAATGAGTCATTTTCATTTTCTGATGTTGGCTAAAAATATGAATATGGAAATCCAATTTCATTAAGAGTGTGTGGAAATCCAAAAAATAACATATGGAAAATGACTTCTAGAAAATGAGTCATTTTCATTTTCTGATGTTGGCTAAAAATATGAATATTATCTATTTTCGTTTGTCTAATTTCTGGAAATTGAGTATCAGGAAAACGATATTTGATCAAATTGTCTCTTAGGCACTTTATCAAACACATGGTGGCAGACCTCATCATCAACAAAAAAAATTTTACTCCAAATCTTACAAGAGCTTAGAGACGTAAAATGAAAAAAAAAACCACTCCGATCCTTAAACATAAGCTGATGAATTGTAATCCTAAAAAATGATGACTCATAGATGTGGGTAGAGAAGTTGATTTTGAAGAGGGGACAGAAATTAATTTTGGAGAACTAAGTTGATGGACAAAAAAAATACCTGTAACCCTAGCCGATTTTGAAGAGGGCAGAGAAATTGTGCTGCGCGCCCACTGTATCAGAGGTTGAAGAAGAAGATGGACAGATGGAAGAAGAAGAAGAATAAAGAGGCGATGGAGAGATGTAGAAGAAAAGAAAGTCAATTGAGATTTGTTTAAGAAAACGCAGCTAGAGTCTATATGTGCATACTTATGTAACTAGAAATAGTGACCCGACCTGATCCGAAATTTGACCTGAAAACACTAAGTTTTGAATAAAGATTTTGATTACTGAACCTGAAATGACCCGCTAAAAATGGGTCAAACCCGATCTGGCGACCCGCTAAAGTAAGAATTTTTCAATTTTTTACTCGTTTTTATTGTATAAATTTATATTTTCAGACAAAATTTTAATGATATTGCATAATTATCTTACTTTTTTCCAAAACTTAAGCATTTTTAAATTACTTATATTGATTTATATATCTAAAAACTACTTTAGAGTTTAAAATAAAATAATTTTGTAGATTTAATACTTTTTTTTATATTTTAAATTTATTTAATAGAAAATTTAAGTGTTAATGTGAATTTTAATATATAATGTTAAAAAACAAGGTTATAACCCGTTGGGTCGACCCGAACCTGATGACACTAGGTCATGAACATACAGTTCTCAACTCGAACCCCAATTGACCCGAACCCGAAATAATTCAAACTTGAAGTGACCGAACTCGAACTCGACCTAACCGACCGTTTTGTCAGCTCTACATTCTTGTAGTACTCATTCCGAAGCAATGGCACTCATTCTCGCACAAGTATAATGGTTTATTTGAAAAATGTGGTACTCATTCTAAAATAACGCAATACTCATTCAAAAATAACGTCGTACTCATTTTCACAAATTTGTTCAATATTCATTTACGAATAACATAATATTTATTCTAAAACCCAGTAGTACTCATTCTCATATAACCTAGTACTCATTTTCAAACAATGTACCGTTCATATGTCCATTCATAAGTTGAAATCTGCTAAGTGGAAGAAAAGATCTCTAGGAAGCGGAAGACCATCGCGAGCACCTGGAAGCGGAATTGACCAGATCTTCACATATCCAAGCACCATTCAAATCACGGATCAGACCTTCATCGTCCAATCGCCGATCGGACTTCCAAACAACCTCCATCGGACCTTCATCGTCCAATCACCGATCGGACATCCAAACAACCTCCATCGGACCTTCATCGTCTAATCGCCGATTGGACCTTCATCGTCAAATCGCCGATCAAGAATCCAACCAACCCATCGCGCAGCCTCCTTCATGGCCGATCGATTCGGCCGTTCCTGCCGCAGTTCCTCCTTTGGTCCCAATTAATTGCCGGTTGTACAATTCTCCCCGTATAACCGGATGTACGATATAATTTGCACCGGCGGATGTGAGAAAGAAATAAGCTGCGGAAAATGGCTCGCTACAACAAATCAATAAGGAGGTCATTATACATTTGATAAAGGAAAATGATTTACAGAAGTCATTTTTCTGTTTTTTAAACGGATCTTAATTGTAATTTATACGTTTGGAAACTTTGATTTGAACTTCAAATCTAGATTTGACTCAAATGTCATTTTCAGGAACTTTAAGAAAGTTAAATTTGAATTTAAGGCAAATTCTTTTAATTCATAAAGAACTCAATTTGAAATCCATATATCACATTTGTCATTTGAAATGTAAAAATTCAAACTTTGGAACTGAAATGAAATGTTAGTTCTCAAACACTACCTAAGAGCATTTTATAGACTTCCACTTTTGTTAATTTTTCTTTTAAATTACAAAAAAATCAACGTAAAAAGATTTATGATAGACGTATGGAGTATTTTTTTATATAGTTTTTTAGGGGATGATTATGGAAGAATTCTCAAATATTGATGATCATGATTCATGAATATAATATCTTAAAATTGGATAATATATACAAAAAATTCTTATTACAAAAAATTGTTTATGAAATTTACTATGGTAAATAAAAATAAAGCCGAGATAGTCCCACATTTTTTACCTGAAACTTTGCACATACGCACAGATAATAAATATCTCTGTCACAAAATTATTATGTGTGCATGACCAGACAAAAAAGCCAAACATGAAGTGAGTTACCTTAGCACAACAAACTTTTTTAGTACTATTAAGGGCCTGTTCTTTAGGACTGGAAAAAAAGAGCTGGATGTTGGAAGAAACTGGAAGAACTAGAAGAAATTGGAAGAAGCTGGAAAAAACTAGAAGAACTGGAAAAAACTTCAAAAAATTTAAAAACATTTATTTTACATTCTTGTTGTTATAAATTATTATTATTATTATACAAAAAAGTATTATTATTTTTTAAATACAAAAAACTACTTTTGCAAAAAAATAATTATAATATAAAGTTAGTATAAATATAAAAATATTAAATTTTAAAAAGTCTTTGTGGTTATATTGCACCTCAATTTATTTATGTAGTATTTATTATAAATAATATATTTGTAATTATACTTTGTATATTACAAGATTTTTTTAAATATCAGACATATCACATAATGCAATCAAACCTATTTTTTATTTCATGATTGACATTTTATTTTTATTGAAGTCCTATTTTTGGAATAAAGACATAGAACTTTTTTTTACATTTTTTATGTTTTACTCCTATTTTGACTTACAATTTTTTTTTATAAAACTTAGAAAAATGAGCAAATTTTAAGTAATAAAGGGAAATGTGAGAGATCTTATATAAAGTTAGATTAATAAAACATTCAATATCACTATTTTATCCATAATTTTGTTAATATAATTTAACATATTGACATTTTCTTGTTTTATTATGTAGACTAATATATAAAAAAATTTCTTATTCATATTAAAAAGTTGAAAAAAAATAATGAGTGTGAATCATAAAAATAGCGAGACGAAAAAAATAATTTATAAACTATAGTTATTGATGATGTAAATTACTTGACCGGTCAAACTATACTAGACCGGGTCTAGAATAGTTTGCTTGATTTGGCAAAGTAAGAAAGGTAAAAACTCGTAGATTGACCGGTAGGACTTTAGGTGGAACACCTGTAGCCCAATTTATATTATAACGGAGAATGCACGGGTGCTTTTACAAGGAAGTTTAGAGGAAATGAATTCGAATCCCTACTTCTGAGAGTTACAGCCGTATTTATACTAGGTTTGGGGGGATAGGACCACGTGCGCCCACGTGGAGGCACGTGTCTCCGATGTTGAGAGGTGATGGGCCTCGTCTCTTAGCTACCTTGTCACCTTGTGAGGAGAATTATTCCCTTTGTCAGGTAGTGCCTTGGATGGATTCCTCAAGCATCTCCAGCAATCCTTCACTGACACGGGTCGCTACTGTCCAAACTCTTTTAGATTCCCTTTTGCCGACGCTTTCTAACCTCAGAAACTACACCGGGTAATTTCTGAGGGATGAGTTTATCGTACTTAGGGAATGAATGGAGTGATAAGTAGTTTGACCGGTATACTTTTTCCCGAAGTACACCGGTCAAATTCGGACCGATCAAATACCCACTTGCTGACGATTAAAGTCTCCCTTTCCAGAATTTTCAAGATTGACCGGTCAACTGTTTGGTCTTCTCCTTTGACCGGTCATGGGTGGAATACACCCATCAACAAGGATGAATGGAACCATGTAATAGTTTGACCTTTGACCGATTTGAGTGTCCTCTGGCTGATGATTAAAGTCCATCTCCTTAACTTTCAAGATTGATCGGTCAACTATCTGGTCTCTTCCTTTGGCCGGTCATGGGTGGAATACACCCATCAGTTATGGACATAATAGTTGTAATAATAATAATAATAATAATAATAATAATCACATTAAAATATATATCTTTTTTAAAGTAATTGGTTGAGGAGTAGAAAGAGTTTGAAGAAAATGAGAATAGTTAGAAGAAACTGGAAGAAACGGGAAGAACTGGAATAAACTGGAAGGAACTGGAAGAAACTGGAAGAAATTGGAAATTAAGAGTTCAAGTCCTAAATAACAGACTCTAAATCGATTGGAATGTAATTTTTGTTAATATTGATATTGCATAAAAACTCAATAACTTTGTCTCTACTAAGATTTAAATTTGTTTGAATTTCTCCATAAATTTATCCATTTGAGAAAAGCTTGCACAACACCTATTTGTACACCAAAGTTTGTACTCCCCAAAGGCATGTACCAACATTTTGTGCTAGTGTGATGTTAGTCTAATTATTTACATTAACAAAAAAAGTCAGTGTAAATTTTTTTAATTGAACTAATATTTTCCACTTGTGTGAACTGTTAAAATATCACTGCATTTCTTTTTTTTCCCATAGCATTGTTGATTTTTTTTTGTTTGAACAAGCACAACCGAATTAATAATGGTAGGATAAAAGAAGGGGAAAAAAGTACTATTCGGCTTTTGCTTTAAAAATAAAAAAAGGATTATTCCTTAAAAATACAAAAGAGCAACGCGGCTTCACAAAGAAGGAACCCTCACTCTGCTGTCTATTTTGTCTTGGTCTTTCTCCTCCCCTATCTCTCAGCATCCTTCTCCTTACTTTTCTCTCTTTCCCGTTCACAGGAAGAAGCGTCCAAGCTTTTAGGGTTAGGGTTTTTGTTCTTCACCAAAACCCCCGAGCTTCCAGGTCAATTTTGAGGCAGGAGGCGACGGGATTGGCCTGTTTCTGCGCGCCTTGTTAGGGTTCCGGTTATGGGTCGTCGCTCGGTCAAATGGCACCATATTCTTAAATCTATGAAGCTTTTGTTCCTCATTTGGTCGCTCTACAGTGTTGCCTTGGGCTTGGATTCGGATCAATCGGCTCTCTTGGAGTTCAAGGCCTCCGTTTCGGATCCGCACGGACTGTTGTCGAGCTGGACGGTGAACGGTTCCGATTACTGTACGTGGGCCGGAGTTTCTTGCGCTCCCGATTCCCGGGTCGTTGCTCTGAACATCAGCGGCGGAGGTAATTCCGGCTCTTCTCCTTGTGCTAATGTTTCTCTGTCCCCACTTTATGGCTTTGGGATTAGAAGGAAATGTCAGAGTAGTGATTCGAAACTCGTGGGTAAAATCTCTTCTGCAATAGCTAAGCTCAATGGGCTTAGCGTCTTGTCACTTCCTTTTAACGAATTAAGTGGCGAGATTCCAGAAGAGATTTGGGGTATGGAGAATCTTGAAGTTTTGGATCTGGAAGGAAATTTAATAACTGGATCTCTCCCTACAGAGCTTAAAGGTTTGAGGAAACTGAGGGTTCTCAACCTGGGTTTCAATAAGATAATGGGAGAAATTCCGAATTCTTTGGGAGATTGTACTGGATTGGAAGTCTTAAACTTGGCTGGGAATATGGTAAATGGGACTATTCCCGGGTTCATTGGTGAGTTTAGAGATCTGAGGGGGATATACTTATCTTTTAATCAGCTCAGTGGACTGATTCCAAATGAGATTGGACAGAACTGTGGGAACCTTGAGTACTTGGAGCTGGCGGCTAATTTCTTAACAGATGGTATTCCAAGAAGTTTGGGAAATTGTAGACAGTTGAAGACGATACTGCTCTTTTCAAACATGTTGGAAGAGAGTATTCCTGCAGAGATTGGTCAGCTGAATCAGCTTCAAGTCTTGGATGTGTCAAGGAACAGCCTCAGTGGGTTCATACCGTCTGAGCTGGGAAATTGCACCAAATTATCTGCTATTGTATTGTCGAACTTGTGGGATCCACTTCTAAATACTTCTTATTCAGCGGGTGATTCCTCAAGTGCAAAACCAGCACTCAGTGGTGATGAATACAACTTTTATGAGGGCACAGTTCCTGATGAAATTACCAGACTTCCCAGTTTGCAGATGATATGGGCTCCTAGGGCAACGATGGATGGAAACTTTCCCAGAAACTGGAGTGCATGCAACAGCTTAGAGATGGTCAACTTGGGTCAAAATTACTACACGGGTGAAATCACAGGATTATTGAGTAACTGCAAGAATTTACGTTTCCTTGACTTGAGCCTAAATAGGCTGACCGGTGAGCTTGTTGAAGAGCTTCCAGTTCCTTGCATGAATGTGTTTGATATAAGCAAAAATTTTCTTTCGGGTTCTCTTCCTGTATTCAGTAACAGAACTTGTGCTCATCTCGGTGATGTAAACAGAGACCCATTCAAACTCTATGATGCATCTTATGCATACCTCTCGTTCTTTACCCGTAGAGCTCTGCTTGAAATTGGTACTACATTGATTGGGGGTGGTTTTGGTCCTGATGTGGTTCATAATTTTTGTGGTAACAACTTTACGGGGCAGTTGACTTCATTGCCCATAGCACCCCAAGCATTATTTGGAGAGAAATCTGCTTATGCCTTTCTTGCATGTAGTAATGGGTTTACGGGGCGTTTTCCCGAGAGTATCATCAATCAGTGCCATTACATAGGAAGTTTGATTGTTAATATGAGTAACAACAGGCTGTCTGGTTGGGTCCCGACAAATATTGGCTCTCGTTGCAGGTCTCTGAAGCTTTTTGATGTCTCAAAGAATATGATTTCTGGGTCCCTTCCTCCAAGTATAGGGAGTTTGGTTTCTCTCGTATCTCTCAATCTGAGCTGGAATATGTTGCAAGGTCAGATTCCCAGCACCTTTGGGAAGATAAAGGATCTCAAATATCTCTCTTTAGCCGGAAATAATTTGAATGGATCCATCCCCACAAGTTTTGATCAGTTGAACTCCTTGCAAGTGCTTGATCTTTCCTCAAACTCTTTGACCGGAGAGATTCCAAAAGTTTTGGTGAATTTAAGGAACTTGGTCACCATCCTCCTGAACAACAACAAGTTGTCAGGGGAGATTCCACCTGGCTTTGTCAATTCAACCACACTAGGAGCATTCAATGTGTCGTTTAATAACTTGTCTGGCCCATTACCTCCTGATGGTAATTTCACAAAGTGCAACAGTGTTCTTGGGAACCCTCATCTCCAACCTTGTCATATCTTTTCACCATCACTTCCATCCACTTCTCCGTCAAGGGATACACCAGATGCTTTAACACCTCCAACAAATTCAAATCGTAGGAAAGGCAATGGAGGGTTCAATTCAATTGAGATTGCATCCATAACATCTGCATCGGCCATCTTGTCAGTTCTAATTGCTCTCGTTGTCATCTTCTTTTACACCCGAAAGTGGAACCCACAATCCAGAGTTGCGGGATCTATCAGAAGGGAAGTCACAATCTTCACAGACATTGGGGTTCCTTTGACATTCGAGGATGTTGTACAAGCCACTGGGAATTTCAATGCAGGAAATTGCATTGGTAATGGTGGATTTGGAGCAACATACAAGGCTCAGATTTCTCCTGGGGTTCTTGTTGCCGTAAAACGATTGTCAGTGGGACGCTTTCAAGGTTTTCAACAATTTGATGCAGAAATAAAAACCTTGGGTAGGCTTCGGCATCCTAATCTCGTGACGTTGATAGGATATCATGCCAGCGAAACAGAAATGTTTCTTATATATAATTATTTACCAGGGGGCAATTTGGAAAAGTTCATCCAGGAAAGGTCAACGAGGGCTGTTGACTGGAGAGTACTTCACAAGATTGCCTTAGACATAGCCCGGGCGCTTGCCTACCTGCACGATCAATGTGTTCCCCGTGTGCTTCATCGTGATGTAAAGCCCAGCAATATCCTTTTAGATGAGGATTACAATGCATATCTATCTGATTTTGGATTGGCAAGGCTTCTTGGTACTTCGGAGACTCACGCTACTACCGGTGTGGCAGGAACTTTCGGATATGTTGCCCCTGAGTATGCGATGACATGTCGTGTCTCTGACAAAGCTGATGTGTACAGTTATGGGGTTGTGTTGCTTGAATTGATTTCAGACAAGAAGGCTCTTGATCCCTCGTTTTCTTCGTATGGAAACGGTTTCAACATCGTTGGTTGGGCCTGCATGCTTTTAAGGCAAGGCAGAGCCAAGGAGTTCTTCACGGCTGGTTTGTGGGATTCAGGCCCACGAGATGATTTGGTGGAGGTGCTACACCTGGCAGTCGTGTGCACGGTGGAATCTTTGTCAACCAGGCCCACCATGAAGCAAGTCGTGAGACGGTTAAAGCAGCTTCAACCTCCATCTTGTTAGCAGTGGCTGCATTTGGATGTATGGATGGATTCTAGGAGGCTAACATTGTGTAATGGCCATGTAAAGGTAAAAAAAGCGCAATTGTATTTTTAACTCCCCCAGTACTTTGACAAAGAAGTGCCCGAGAAATACTTGTAGTTTTCAGTAGGTTCCATGTTTTTTGAATTTGTTGTAATTGATAGCTTTCATTGTAAATTCAGTATAGCTTTTCCACCATTTTACTGTCATCATGTGTCTGCCTCTGCCTCTTTAGAACTTCTGTTTTCAGCTGCATCTGCAGAATGCAGATAATTGTCTCTAACACTGTATACATGTAACTCATTTATGTTGTCCTTTAATCAATAAAAACGATAGGGACCTTTTTCTGCTAAAAGACATTCTTATGCTGTTGAACTTCTGGTCATTACTTGATACTTGATTCAGTTGATTGGTAGCTAGCGCCTAGCCCCCTCTATCCTGTTGGTTCAGGCTTAGTTCACTACAGTACAATGTAAGATACAAAGGGCTGGCTTCAGGTTGGTTGCTTTAAGCTGAGGCCCCACTTGTTGTGTTCTAACTGTAGGTGACAGTCTTCGAGTTTCCTCTGGTTTGGGGTTAGGGAATGGATTTTGGGGCAATTTTTTGTAACCTAAATGGGGTAAGAGTTCAAAATTCCTAAACCCGTACTTGATATCAACATTCCATGCTCAAGTAAATGAGCCCTACACTATGTTTGGTTCAAGGAATCTGTGAGGGAAAGGAAAAGAAAATGATATGAAAAACAATTTTTTTGTTTGGTTAGAGAGGAAAAGAAAAGTAGAAGGAAAAGAAAAGACGGGAAAAAATACATAAAAAGGGGGGAAATAATTTTCCTTCCAATTCAGTGAGGAAAACGAGTTTCCTTTCTAATTTCTCGAGCCAAACACACATTAATATAGCCTAAGTCAGTTAGAAAATTTCTGAATTCTTCATCTGCAAAATGAACAATTGCTAATGTGGGAGCTGACTGGTTGTCCGTTATGAAATCCCAATGACGTGAAACCTTTGGTTTAAATAATTTGATGACTTTGAAATGTGACTAACCATTGTGAAATATTGATTCTTATTTACAATCTTGGCAGTTCATTCATGGACCATTTTATCATGCATAAATAAAGAACGGAACTTTTGAACAACTATTAACCAAATAGCTGCCTACAATGCCTCATTGATCTATCTTTCAGCCTTGCTGCCTCATCACTAATGATCTCAGTAATGAGCTCCTTAAAGATTAGGCGCTCAATATCGACCACTAGTGTTGGAATCTCACAGTGAGATTCTACCCATTCCTCTGATTCATGCTTCAGATCTGCATTTATGATGCTAACCAATTCATCTTTCTCGGCATCCAAACTGCTGTCTGGTTTTGCAGGCCGTAGATAATCCATCTCCCTGTGCACTTCTTTAAGGAGCTGATGTCCACTCAAGCGTCTCCCTCCTCGCATAGAAAGCCCTTCTTCCGGTGATAGTTTCTGGACAATGATTTCTTTAACTGTGTCAAACACAATCTTCCTGTGAGTTTTCTGATCAAACTTCAAATGGGGCAGCTCTTTTGTAGGCCCTTCAGTTTGCAGTTCCTCTGTTTGTTCTAGCACGTCAAACAACTCAGGATTGATCAGGTGGACGGTCGGATGGAGCCAAGTGATTGTTGATGCACGGCTCACATCTCTGAGGATGCCCGATGCCAATAGTATCTTATTGACATATTTGTGGTCAGCATCCTCATTACTATTATGGCAGAAAGATTCCGTTTGATCTGCAGTAGACGTGGAATTTGTCAGTCTGAGATTATGTTGAAGTAGGATCTCATCTTCTTCCGATTTCTCATGATTGATCTCTGAGCCACGATGCTGTCTAGTGGTGGTGAACGGTGAGTTCCCAAATTCTTTTGAATTCCATTCTGCTTCATTATCATCTGAATCATCATATTCTGTAAAATGTGGGTATCAACAAAACACTCACATTAGTCAAATTGTTCTTGTTTTACTCGCTGATATCTTATGATTATAAGTTTATACTTCATTTAAATGCGCAAAAAAGATTTGTTTCTTGAGTTGTGAGGACAAGATATGAACCTGTATATGTTGCTGATATCTTCTTCACTGGGGATGGTGAATCTTCTATGTAAAATGTCTCATCAAGCACAGACACTGGACTTCGTTGTTCTTTTGTAGAAATCTGAAGCTCAGCAGTTAACATGTTCTCAACCAGCCTTCGTGAACAGTCCTGTACAAAAAATGTGGAAGGGATGGGAATGAGTAACTATTTACTTATACAGCCTAAGGTACCCATTGTACCATGTCACTTTTCAATAAAGAAAATAGGACATTAATACTGGGAAAGAGTGACATATTTATTTTCTCTTTAGAGACTAATCACTTACCAGTTCTTTACAAAATTTTCGCCCTTTAGACCGATATTTGCCTGTGAGTAGTTCAGTGTCCATAGGTGAGGCAAAGCCATTGTCACTTTCTGAGTGTACTGAAGCCGTGTCACATTGCTCGCCAAAGTTTCTTATGTCACTTTTGATCTCCCCACTGAAGTCTTGTTGTGGATTCCTAGACTTCAGCTTATTATTCTTATATCTCCTGCTCTGCAACCCCAACTCTTTTGTTTGTTGTGCATTTTGGGTCCTTCTAACTCTGCTCATTTCAGGTGGAGGGCGATGTGATTGCAATCTTGGACTCACTGCACCAACTGAGCCAACCTGCACATTGCTCTTTGCACCAGAGAGACGTTGCCCAGGGTCTTTTATGTAATTTCTCCTCCTCGGCGACAGACTTTTCCTCTCATTGCCAAGCGAATCCTCTCTGTTTCGCTCAAGTCTGACCTTATTATTCTCATTCAGTTTGTCTGATTTTCTGATGTTCTTTTGCAAGGTCGCCGGCTCTGGTTTTTCGCTCCTGTGGATCGCTTCGAGTATGTGCTTGAGGGCTCTGAGATCCTTCCCGGATTCCTGGAACTCGAGCTCTGCCACCCTCTTCTCAATTTCACTGTAGACAGAGGACTGCCGCTGACGTGGCACCACCTTGGCTGCTGATGTGGCACTCTCGGGAACGTGTGTTGTATATGATGCCTCCTCCAATCCCATCAACTTTGCCACCACACTGGATGATCTTTTGTGCTGCTGATGATGATGATTCCCTACTAAGAGGAAGTTTGATCTGGACTCCGACGCAGTGGTAGAACAGTTCTCTATGGACTTCACCCTGCTGTCTAAAGACAACCTGGGAATCTCTTTCAGTTTCATCACCCTCTTCAGTGTTTCTCTTCCTGATTCTCTCTCATCATAGGAAAGACGACGGGGCTCGTGCACCTTGGTGGGCCCCCTTGTCAGCCCTTCCTGTGAAGGTCGCGGGGAGTCAACACGTTTCACCACCCGGACTTTCCCTTCAGTTTTGGTCACGGTTTTGATGGATAGGCTACGGGCTTCGCGGTGCATTGAGTCCTTCACGGCGTCTTTGAGGTCCCGTTGGTGACAACTAGTTTGGGTTTGGTCAAGTAATGGGAGGAGAATCTTGGATGACTCTTTTGAGACCTTTGTATTTTTGCCCTGCATTTTTGTTTTGTTTTGTTGAGGCAATATAAGTCAAAGTTGGTTCTTGAAAATAACATTAGAAATTTACCAAATTCTGCAAATTATTTCTTGTAAATGTGCAGAATCTCACCAGACTTTGCTGTTCTGAAGCACTTTCTTCCATGTGGCTTGCACCTGGATTCACAGTAAAAAATGCAGACAGCCATTAGTTTTCTTTTTCTTTCTACAGAGGCATGTAGGCACAGTAAAAAAGTGCAATTTTGTGACTTTAATTCTCTTTTTTACTATTTACATTGTTGAGCTATATCTATTTTTGTTAATAATTTGTATAAATTTTGTTTTTCCATTTTACATCAACATTTAAACATAAAAAACTCGATTGAACTTTGTAATCGAAAAAGGAAGATTCAATAGGGATTAATGGACGATTATTTATTCAAAATTTAAAAAAAAGGCTTTTTCTACTCTATTAGTGTTGTTAAAATTAGTTACTCCCTCCGTCCCATTTTAAATTGCATGTTTGCCTTTTTTCTCCGTCCCAAAATAAGTTGCCTGTTAGTTGTTTTCGTAAACTTTTAAAAATAAAATACCTAAACTACCCCTAAAATAAGTCAACTTCTTCACTTTATCTTCTCATTCATCATCACCCCTCCTAAAAAGTAATGTCAATTTTGGAAAATCAACTCTATTTTTTATTTTTCTTAAATATGTCCAAAAATCAAAACAGACGATTTAAATTGGGGCGGAGGGAGTATTTTTTAAGCATGTACTCTTAAGCATTGAAACTTGAAAAGTATACATGATTCAACGAAATCCCGTAAGAGGCTCAGATTATGCTATGACATTCCAAACTAATGTCACATAAAACGTGGTATATATCGATTCATCACAAACATCCTACAAAAAGTAATTACGAACTTCTTCCATCCCAAATTAATCATCTCACTTCATTCTTCAAGACGACTTTCTTTTTTTCTTTCTTTAGTTATCTTCATCCATCAGTTTTTAGCGTTGGTGTTTAAAATTTTGTCCAAAACGTAACCAAAAACATCGTCTCCATACAACGATGCAGTTTTTTTAATATATGGATTTTAATTGAAATTTTATACAATTATTTTGAAATGGCTGAGTTTTTGTAAAATTTATAAAAATAAAAATAATGACATTTTGAAATTAGTATTTTTATATATTTGTGTCTTCCAACTGGAAGGGCAAAGAGAGAAATGCAGATAAAATAAAAAGAAACTGAAAAGGAAAAGAAAACCTGGTGGAAGGAGTCGTTTGGTGGCGTGACGGCCGAGACGGCGGAAGTGGTGGCGCTCAAAGATATGGAATATTCCGTTCATGCACCCAATCTGCTTGTTCACTTCATCATTTCTTCCCGACATTATAGCTAGCCAGCCAACCCAGTAGGACTTATTATTATTATCCCCTCTCGATCTACTTCTGCGGCGGCCCCTCTCGCCGGAAAACCAAAGAACGCCGCCGTCCACTCAGTTTCCTGCTGCTGTATGTGTCCGTTACCCAGTGCTTAACGGAAAATCAAGAAGGAAACCGAAAGAGATCGAGCCAGCAGAGAAATATAATAGATAAAATTAAATTAAATTAAATTAATAATAGTTGTGCAAATATATATATATATATATATATATATATATATATATATATATATATATATATATATATATATATGCAGAACTAACTAATAAGGAGAAGAAGAAGAAATTGTTTAGTTTGTTTAAACAAAGAGTGGCTGCAGGAGATGTAATGGGAGTAATTACATATAGTTGGACGACTTTATTATAACTTATATACGGATCGAGTATATGACTTTAATTTCTTCTTTTTCTTTTTTTCCTTTTTATTTATAAAATTCTTTAAATAATTAATTACTTTAATAATTTGTCTCCCAAGTCTTGCAAAATAATAATGCTCCCTAGGTGTGCCATGTGGTGGGTGATTAAGCAAGAGACTAAGAGGATTCAAGAGCCTAGATCGTCACAAATTAAATTATCTAAATTATTTTTTTAAGACAATAATTAATATTAAAGTAAAACACATTTAGGGGCTGTTTGTTTCAGCCTCTTTATTGTTCAGATTTAATGGTTCAGACTGTTTGTTTCAGCCTCTTAATGGTTCAGATGTCTGAATGGTTAAGAGATTTGCTTCTGAATGATTAAGTATTATACAGAGTCTGAATGGTTAAGACTTCTTATATGAATTGATCAGACATTTGCCTCTGAATAGTTAAGCAATATACTAGCTCTTAATGGTTCAGACCTCTTACTGGTTCAGCACTTAATGGTTCATACATCTTACTCGTTCAACACTTACCTATTCATAAGTTGTCAAACAGCACCTTACTATTTATATATTAAAGTAATATAGTTACTTTACCTCATATTTTATACTTCGTTCCCTTTTTCATTTTTTAATGCGGAGTATATACTAATTTTAACTCTGAAAATTGCAATAGTAATTAAATAAATAAAACTTAAAATAATATCTAACAAATATTGTAAATTAAAATAGGAACAAATAATTTTGAGACAAATAGAATAATTTTTTATGATTCACAATGTTTTCTCTGTTCTATATTTATTTCAAACACATAATTTTAAGATGAGGAAAGTAAAAATTTTGTCCAAATTTTTCGTGGCGTGAAAATCAAAAGTGACACATGAGGAAAGGTGGTATAAATTATCCATAATTGAAGGCATTTGGGCTACAAATTTAATGTTTTTTTCATCAGGGTAATTATAAAATTGACTAAAATGACTAAGGGTCCGTTCCGTAGGACTTATTTTTTATACTTATTACTTATTCTTATTAAAATCAGATCAGATCAGATCTAATAAGATCAGATCAGATCCAATCAGATCAGATCAGACTCAATTAGATCAGATCCCATCAGATCAGATCCAATCAGATCAGACCAGATCCAATCAGATTAGATCAGACCAGATCAAATCCAATAATATCAAATCAAGAAAAAATATAAAAGATAATATTTATTTTTTTCAAGGATTAAATAATAATTACTATTATTTGATTTAATCACATTACTTTATTTAAAACTACACACACCTAAATCTGAATTAATGTTGTAATTTTAAATATTATTGTTTTTATATTATTATTATTATTATTTTCAACTACAAACCATTATTTTAAATAATTGTTTAGCTTGTAGGATAGAAATGATGCATGGAAGCAATGTTAAAGCTTTTATTTTTCAAACTTTAAAAAGATTTATTTTAAAATACTTGTTTATAAAATAATTATACAAAACTTTGTTTTCAAAACTATAAATATTTTATACTTAAAAAGATTTACTTTTAAACTTTAAGATGGTATAATATACACAAGGGTGAATTTAGGACAAAATTGATAGAGGTGAAAGCGATATTAGTGTTTAAAATTTTATATGATCTTTAATTTGTAACATGAAATATATTATTATGTAATATGTATATACAATGTGATATTTTTGTAGAATAGCATCAATATTTTCTAATATTTGTTTATTTTAATACCGATGATTTAGTTTTCACAAAAATTAAAAAAGTTGTGATATTGAAAA